TCAGAGTACAAAAATACAGAACAAAAGGTCTCCCTGCTGTTTCAGCAACTCTGTTGTCTGAAAAACATCCCCATCCTTCTTAAATTTGAAAAATGACGTCTAACCAAGAAGCACTTTAGCTCATCTGAAACCAATGCAGAGCCATGACCCCCCTTGAGTTAAGTTCATCTCTCCTCCATCAGTCATGTTTCAGGCAGAGAAACAGAACCAGAAGATACATGTTAAGAGAGATTTATTGCAAGGAACTGGCTTATGCAATTGTGAGACCTGGCTGGGCAAGTACAAAACCCCTAGGGCAGGCAATCAGGGAGGACATGTTGGAACTCTCTGGCAAAGGTGGAAGCTATCATTCGAAGATGGTATTTCTTCTTCTGGAAAAATTCATTTCTGTTCCTAAATCTTTTTAATGGATTGAATCACATTCACCCAAATTATCTAGAATAGTCTCCCTTCCTTAAAGTCAGTTGATTATGGACTTTGAGCACATCTATAGAATACCATTACAGAAACACACTATTGCTTGACTAACTGGGGAAATACAGCCTAACCAGGTTAACATTGACCATCACATCTCCCAATGCACTGCTTCCTTCTGCAACCAGATTTATTCTACCAGAATGCATCAGAGCAGTGCAGGCTCCAAGACTCTGCATAGAGGGAATCCATATGGATGGCTTTCTCCTTCAACGGTCCACCATGTACAGCCCATCCTCCCACCTGGCCCACCTCACAACCAATCTATATAAAACTCCAGACACTGCTTTGCCCTTGCGTTTTTGAAGTCTCAAATTAGTAAGCTTTTTTTCTGTCTCCTCCCTGAAACTAAAATCTCTTATAAGCACAAAAAATGTCTTCTGTCTTGGAATCACGAGCACAGAGGAGACTCTATGGATGTATGTAATGGAAGTGAGCTCACTTAATATGTGTAACCCAAATTCCCAGCATTATTCATCCCAAGGATCACCTGGACAAGCAAATAATTCAGACAAGAGGAAGAAGTATTTTCTCCTCAATTATTCAAGTTTCAAAGAGAAGGAATGAAAAATTAAGATTATGAAGAATGTAAAGAAGTACATGTCTTGCACTGTTCTAATATGCTACTGTGAGCTACTGTCCAAGTCTAATTTTGCCAGAGAAAAGGGGTGGGCCTTAAAATTTGAGATGCTTGGGGACAATCTAACCAAGTTCTAGTTCTCCCTTCAGCCCATCGCCCCAGAAATATCTTTGTCTTTCATTCTGAAGGGTCCCTTTCTTTTGCAGATTCCACAGTCTGGTTGGAACTACTTGGGAAAGTGATTTTACTTTATTTGTGGCTGATTCTTGTTCTCAAATAGCTAATGTTTGTGGAGCACTCGCCATATACCAAGCACCATCTCAATTATTCTATGCAACAATCATATTAGGTAGTACTTTTATTGTCCCCAATTTAAAAATGAAGAAACAGGCTTAACAGGTTAGAAAAACTGGAGCTTGGGTGTCACTATTCCTCTTAGAGAATGGGCTTTATCTTGGGCTTCATCTTCATGTGGGCATCTTGGCCCTAAAACTTAAGGACAATAATGCCTACTTCAGGGCATTGTTGGGAGGATCAATTAAGATCAAGTATGTGAAAGTGGCTGGTATTGAGCCAGGCACAGAAGGGGCTCTTAGTGAACTGGAGGGACAAGCAAATGTAAGCTGCTTAGGAGAGGTACTTATTCTTCTGGGTCTGCCTCAGTTATAAAGCCCCAGGAGCTGGATTGTAGAAGAGACCTACTATGTTTTCTCTGGACAAAACTGAGTAAAGACAATAACTCATGTACTCAGAAATATTATGGCCTACCTGCATCATAATCATCTGGGGAGCTAGTTAAAATGAATACACCCATCCTCACCCCCCATCTCCACCCCACTGCACTGATAGGTAGGAAAGTGCCTTTTTAGACAAACTTGAGTTATTCATATATACTCCTGAATTTAAGAGTAAATATACACAAACACACATATACACACATACATATATGTGTGCATATATGTATGTATATATGTAAAGTCCATCTTTATCCCAAAAAAGTATGAATATAACTATATATACACAAATATAAATTATATTTTATCAAAAAACATGCAGAGAAGTCCATTTATGTGTGTTCTTTTCACCAAATCAGAATCAGTTGGCACTATTTTTCATGTTTTACATGGCATATGTACTGCTACAACCAAGCAGAAACCTAGAGTAGCTCCCTTTACAAATAAGTGAAGGCAAATCATACATTAGAGAATTATCGAAAACTGCAAGATTGAAATCTAAGTTAAGAGGGCTTAAGCCAGTGGTAGTTCCCATCTGAAAATCACTTCTCAGGTTATAAAAATTCACATATGTGGGCCCTATCATAGACTGACTGAATTAGAATGTCTGAGGGTCGAATAAAGGCCTTTATATGCTAAACCATTTCTATAGATGATTCTAGCTACCTCCCTGGTTAGGAACTGCTGATAACCATTTGGGTCACCAAAATAAGCTATACTTTTCCCATTTTCAAGGTAGTACTAATGTGTTTGTTTCTCTGTACAACAAAGTTGTTAACAAAGGGCTGACATGGTTCACATGCTGTTAGACACCTCTTGCTAATACTTCACTAGCATGGTTTCCAGGCTTGTCCTTTAATTTATGTTATGAAGAGCCAGGGGAGGCCAATATCATGCATGTTCAGCTCACACCTGTGCACATACACACACCTATCAGGGGTCGCTCTTCAGCCATTATATTTTTCCTACCACTCCCTCATTCATAAACACTCTGGTCTCTTTATTCCATGTTCACTTTCAAAGGGTATGACCAGCTGGTCCAAGTGCCTCCTAATCTAGCTGATGACCCTGAGTTGAAGTGAAGTGGGACTTACACAAGGTATCTCAGCTAAGTAGTCTTAGCATCAGGATTTGAACTAGCCATTGACTTCAATCCAATGCTCCTTCCCCGCCCCAATACTTGTTCTCTCCCCTGAACTTTGGAGGGATGCTCTATTTCCACAGCTCCTACAAGCAAGCCTGGCTTTGTAGGCTTAAGTCTACTCTGGCCTCACAGAGCACAGCTCTTAGAAGGGTCATGCACTTGATTTACTGCTCTGCTGTTGCTGTCTTACAATTCTTAACAAGAGGTCTTGCATTTTATCTTGTACTGGAGCCTGCAAATTATGTAGCTGGACCTCCTAAAAGCTAAGGGGCCCACTCATGACCCTTGAAGCAGAGGGAGCTTGGTGAAAGTGTAGAGCTGCAGTTCAGAGTCTCAGCCTGAGTTCTGCCCCACCCATCCCTAAAGAGCTCTCAGCTTCTCTGAACCCTCAACTTCTACCTGGACAGGCTTAGTGAAAAAATTTGTTCTCTGAGTGTGTGCTGAGACATCATTTCCATTACCCTTGACCCCTGCTGGAAGACAAAGTAATGACACTTTTGTTTTACTTAGTATTCGGTAATAGAAATGTAACTAATTGGAGAACATCAAAAAATTCTGTCCTCCTCATACCAGATCATTTTCTAGAAATCAGTACTTGCAAACCCCTATATTAACATATCACATATCATCCATTTGTACTTTGACAGCTTTGCAAACAATCCACATTTTGAAAAACTCTTTCAAAAAAATCTTGAGCAAACTCTTCCTGTTTCTCATAAGTTTATAATGATAGTATTATTTTCATTTGTTTAGTTATGTTTAGTTATCTTATCTGGCATGGCCAGATGATCCAGCATTGTTTTTTCAAGTCTTGCTTTTAATTTAAACAAGGTAATACATTAGTTGGAAGCAAATGTTTTGTTTTGTTTAAAGAAATTCTCTTTAGTGATATTCAGGAGAAGGTATGGCTAATGCATTTTGTTTTCATGAAATCATTTTAAAGCTGAAAATTACTTTACAAAGCACCACTTTCAATGTCCTTATTTTCTCCTTATATACTCACAGAATAGAGATTGTGATTTACTCATGAACCATGTCATAGCACACAGAAAGAGACCCCAGGGCTACTGATCCCAAACCATCTTAGCACACCTGTGCTTAAATAGTTCCAAGTAAATTAGATGACCACTAAATATTGCTGCAGAGTTCAAACTATTACTTCAGAAACTGAAGTGCCATATGATTTTTATCCTTTAAAGATAAACAAAAACCCTCTACTGTTCTTTCTAAAGATGACAGGAGTCACTATTATATATAAATATTTATGAAGAACATTACTTTTGGAGAAAAATACCTCACATCTGTATCATATATAATACTATATTAAAATTCTGACCAACGTCACCAGTGTGAAATGGGACTTTCTTATGAAGGTGACACAAATGATGTTCATACAATTTGATCACAGTGTACCTAAATGTGAGAGGAGTAATTTTGAATCATACAGGAACTGCTTACAGGACTGCCTAACATCATATAGTCCTTTGGTCACCATCATTCACTGGACATGCTTGGATCTATGTCTTCATCTCCCTGTGTCATTCTTTCTCATGTGTGTCTTTCACTAAACTGTGAGTCTATTAAGGATGGAAACAATGTGTTTACTGTTCATCTTTTTTATATCCAGCATCTAGCACACTGCCTGGCACATAATAGCAAAAAAATGAATAAATAAATGAATGAAGATCTCATGGAACTCTGTATTTTCATACAGATTTATTATAGAGAAAGGGACCATGACCTCAACGAAGGCAGGGAAATATGTTATACTTTATTTTTTTTTAATTTTTATTTATTTATGATAGTCACAGAGAGAGAGAGAGAGAGAGGCAGAGACACAGGCAGAGGGAGAAGCAGGCTCCATGCATTGGGAGCCTGATGTGGGATTCGATCCCGGGTCTCCAGGATCGCGCCCTGGGCCAAAGGCAGGCGCCAAACCGCTGCGCCACCCAGGGATCCCCTGTTATACTTTAAAAAACATCCTCCTATGCCTTGCACAACATTAGTTATGCAACAAATCTAATTAAATGATAAAGGGGTGAGAAGAAGCATAAATATATCCACTTACTTGCAAGCAAGCCAACTCCACTTGCAAGGGATCCGACCCAGGCTGTTTTTCCTTTCCCTTCACCAAAGGTGTCCAGCCATTCTATGTACAGGACTCCAACAGCCAATGGTGATCCATAACACAAAAACTGAGTGAAAAAGGAGACAAGCACAATCACCCAGCCCCATCCACCATCAGGTGACTTTTTAAATTCCATCGTAAGGTAAGATCGTGAGGTATTCCTCTATAGGTCCTAAGCAAAAACAAAAAGAAGAAAAGCATATTTAGAGCATGGTAGGGCACAGTATTTTGGATTAAAAATATCTCCTCCTAAATTAAATCATGAAAAGCTTCTCTAAAAATACACACGGAAAAGCATTAAATATCACTGACATAAGTAACTTTAAAATTTTTACTGATGATTTGAGTAGGGAATACATCCACATGGTTCAAAAAAAATTTTTTTAATTATAAAAAGGCACAGAGTGAAAACTGTCCCCACTCACCAAGTTTGGTTTCTTGTCACATGTTGGCTTCCCCAGGAAGCAGACTCTTGTAAGAAGGAGGTTTTTTATAACAGGCAGGAGAGGAAAAAGGTAAGCTGACATGTAGTGTCAAGAAAGAGAACTTTTGTTTAAGATTTTATTTATTTATTCATGAGAGACACAGATTGAGAGGCAGAGACAATGGCAGAGGGAGAAGCAGACTCCTGCAGGGAGCTCAATGCGGAACTCGATCCCAGGACTCAAGAATCATGACCTGAGCCAAAAGGCAGACGCTCAACCACTGAGCCATCCAGGTGCCCCTAGAAAGGGAACTTCTAAAGCTGAGATGGCCCTTCAGAGTTGCCCTGAGTTAGGCATGGAGAGTTGACCCATCATATCCCCATGTTGATCATTCACCAGATTCAGGCCATCCAGGAAGAGGGCATGACCTTAGGTGAGGGGGCTCCCTTCAAAGGAGTCAGTCATTCCCTTAGGGCTGTCAACTGAAGGCACCCTGCCGGCAGTACTCTTAGCAGCTGGGGCAAGGAATATCTCATTCACAGAGGGAGTCTGGAGAGGAATTGGCAGCATATGACAATGTCCACCAATTTGAGTATCCTTCCAGATTTTCTTCATGAATATACAAGGAAAACCAAGCAAATGTTCTTAGATTTTCCTCTTTTTCAACAAAAAGTAGCATATTGTACATTCTATTCCAGACCTTGTCGCATGCACGTAACATCCCCAAGATTTTTCCCTATCAATATATAGACAGCGTCCTTAGTCTTTTTTTCTTAATAAGCATAAAGTATCTCACCAGATGGCTACACACTTGTTTATTTACTGAATAGGCAAATATTACACAGCCTTTTAGTCTCTTTAGGTGTTTGGCTATTGCTATATGATATATAATATATATATATCATAATATATTATCTAGTTTATTAGCTATCATCTAGTTCAAAAATGAAAAAGAAGGCTGAAAGCTATACAGCCCACACCTATCTATTTCCCACCTAACTCCCATATCCTCCTCAGGAAAACAATACTTCTGGTTTCCTTTACATTCTTCCAGAGTTTGCTTATGCATATATTGCTAACTCAAATATAGATTTCCTCTATTTTTTACACAGAAAAATAGTATGATGTACATACATTATATATATATACATATACACACACACACACATATATTTGTATATGTCTTGCTTTTTTTTCACTTGACAAATATCCTGAAGATCTTTACCATCAATGCACAGCAACCTTCCTTATTTTCTTCTTCATGCTGCACTATGTTTCAGTATAGGACTTTCTCTTAATTCAACCAGCTCCCTGTGACTTACAATGAAAACACTGCAGTGAATAACCTTACATATACATATATCTTTCTCCATATATGCATATCTGTTAGGTAAAACCCAAAAGAAGAACTGCTGAGTCAAAAGGCATGTACACTGTAATTGTAACCAGCATTATGAAATTGGCTTCAAGGGATTAAACCAATTTATATTATCCACAGCAATATGGGATGTGTCATAAAACTTTTGGGTTTTTGCTGGCGTGGTAACTGTAAAATAGTATTTGATTATAGATTTATAGTGCATTTTTCAGCATTCCTTGAATGTTGTGTTCCTTTCATAGATGAAAAGTCATTTGTAATTCCTATCTAATTCTCGGGTATATATACATAGGTGTATATCTGAATTTTCCATTCTGGTCCATTGATCTCTCTATTCACTCACCATTTCCACATTAGTTTAATTACAAATTTAACTGTTCCATGAGTTAAATTTGTAAGTGGATTGAAGGCAATTTGATCCTTTTATGATGTTGAGTCTTTCTATCAAAGAACATAGTGTGCCTTTGCATTTGTTTAAGTCTACTATTGTGTTCTTAATGTTAAAATTTTCCCTAACATTTCTTTTTAAGTATTCTATTCTTTTTGCTAATATTATAATTGGGGTTATTTCTTTGTGTATGTAAAAGTTATTGATGTCTATATGTTAATTTTGTGTCCCACTACCTTACTAAATTCTCTTGTTTGCTGTAGATTTTTGGATGATTCTCTTGAGTATATACAATATATAGTACAATAAAGCTACACAATCATCTACAAACAGTGATAGTTTTACATTTTTATTTTGAATTTTTATACTTCATATTTCCTTCTTTTGCCTTTGCATCGAACAGGGTATAAAGAATAATGTTAAATAATAGGTAAGGTTTATGTCTTTGGTTCCTAACTTAGTTGGAACACTATCAAATGCCAAGGTTCTGTCTCTGGGGCTTAGATCAATTTATTTCACAAAGTTAAGAAAACATTTATATGTCTCTATTTTTGAGTATTCTTATAAAGAATGCTTACTATATTCTATCAAATGTATTTCTGGTGCAGAAGATGATTAAGATTTTTTCCATATAACTTTTAATGTAATAAAATCTGTATTTTCTACTATTGAACCCTCCTTGAATTATTGCATTAAATCATCCTTGCTTCATGCACTATTTTGATTATCTCAGCCTCTTTGGGGGAAAAGGGAAGGATTTAAATTGATAAGTGATATTTGTCTTTTTTGGTTTTAACTTTTACTAAGTTGTGGTATCAAAATGATATTTTAAAAGAATTTGAAAATACTACTTTCAAAGTTCTAAAACAGTTTACATGGCAATGGATTTGGAGGCCCAAGCCTTGATCTCCCTGCCTCCAACAAGGCTTCCCACTTAATCCATAACTCCTATGTCTCTGCACCATGTCAGGTTTACAATTAGTTTCGACAGAGTCTTCTTTGACCACAGATTTTTATAAGCCATTCCCTTGGCTGTGATTTCATCAGACAATAGCTAACAACAGTGGAAATCATCGTCCATCCATTCATGCACATCCCTAATTAGATAATGGAGCATTTGGTTACCTTAAGAGAATACAGTTACACCCATCAATATATCTGGGGTTCAGTGAATTTCTTCACTTGGACATTCAGAACACTAGGCAGAAATCACTTCACCACCTGCCACAGGCCTTTGTATAAATCAACTTTCATTATTTCATAACTGAAAACTGGAAGATGTTACAATTTGTACATAAAACTGTAGAGCTAAAAGCCAGTCTCTTAGACCAAAAGATTGTGTTAGTAGACAGAATACTGCAAACTTCCAAATGTCTAAATCCTTTGAAATAATTAGATATGTCCCTTCATCAGAAATTAACTCCCTCTAGTACTTACTGTGCTGTAAAAGCAAGCAATGTAATTCTGGTCCTTCTAATGACAATTTGGTACTTTGTAATTTTTCTTGTTCAAAATCCCTTTTAAAGAAAATATAATCTTGATTTCCTAAGCTAAATAATATATGATAGGAATGGCCAAACATCTAAAAAGACTAAAAGGCTGTATAAGAACAAATGCATATGAGACTGTCCTTCATTTAAATCTTCAAATTATTGCACTTCAAGAAAAGCACACAATTACATAGGCAAAGCACCAGAATCATGAAGAAAGTCAGTATTTTCTGGAGGGTGGGGGTTGTGAATGGGTGAGGAGTATCTCCCCTGCCAGTCTGCAGACCTGAGTAGACAGTAATGCCTTTATACATAAAATACCTTGGCCTTGATTTACTTTGCCTTGCCTTGGGTGACATTTCAACACATAGGACAAGAGCCAGAGAATTCTTCTCACAGTAAATATTTGGGAGAACAACCTTTGAAATACAAAGCTCCCGTTAATATCAACTCTGACTAGAAAGACAAGTTTTTATAGAGTTGGCTAACAGCTTCTGACCTTTAATTGTCTCATCATTTGATATACATGTAGTCTCAACAAAACATGGTGGAAAATACCATTTTGTGATTTATTGTTTTCTGTCAGTATAATGAGTACCTTTCTCCTAGTTTCCTTTATTCCTTAGGTGCTATTTCTCTGAGATTATATATGCAAGGTGACTTCACAAATAGACTTATCTTTATTTTTCCTCCTTTTGCAATGGTTTCCAGCTTCCCTTGGGGGACTTGGGTCATCTCTATGGGTAGACAGTTGGTAGGACTATTGATCAAGATTCCTTGATCTTGACCCATAGTGTAGTACTTGACCCACACAAGGGCAGCAGGACCTCTCTCCCAGGATTCTGAATTTTAAGAAAAATGCCATAAGGAAAAAAAATAGATATTTATTGATACCAAAGGTAGTACATTTTGAAGAGACTCTCTGGCAGTTCCTACTACCTTGCTACCTAGGGGATACCCAAAATTGGTTTCTCCAGCCTTTCATTTCACTCTAAGAGCAAACCCAATTAGCTGGTTAAGTTAGCTGCTATTTGTTTCTTTTCCTTGGAACAGAATAAACAAATTTGAGTGTGCAGTAATTTCAAGTTGATTATTTTAACTTTCTATACCCCACTTTGTTCCATTTGGGCTAAATGGTAAATTTAGGAATATAATCCGTGACCACATAAGAAATATAGATATGCCATATCTTTTTTTCTGAAATTTCTAATTATCCTTTCTTTGTATCTTATGATCCCAATATGGTAAAAAAAAAAAATCTCTTCTCTTCCATTCTTTCAAGTAAAAACTTCAAATTCACTGAAATTTCCACTAAGCACACTTATACTAATATTTACAAAAATACAGTATATAAAAGTTATCTTTATTCAACAAGTTTTTGGTCACTTACAAATTAAATTATATTGCACTAGATACCAGGGGAAGTCAAAAGAAGTATAAGACATGGCCTTTGCCCACGAAGACCTTATAATCCAGTGAGGGGTGTAAGATGGCATGGGATCTTTGAGTCCCAAAAAGGTGGCTGGTTTGGGAGTCAGAGGGAAATGAAAGCAGGAATGGAAGGCCTTATGAAGAAGTTTGGTCCTAAAGAACAATGGAGAGATTCAAGAAAGCGAGGGTCTGGCAGGAAAAACAACATGAATGTAGGTGTGGAATCAAGATAGGCCTACTAGGTTTGATGGGAAACAAAGAAGGTAGATCTTCGAGGGGTCACAGAGGAAAACAAGATTAGAAAGGTAGCACTCTCATTTGAAATTTAAGAAGAAAGTGTCTCAAGAAGCTTATAACCCCAAGATAGTATTTTTTTTTCATATTTACATAATATATGCTGGCACTAATAATCCATTTATGTTATCTAAGTGATGAACTATTTTGTCCTAAAAAATGATAAGATCTATAAATATCAGAGAGTGCTCTTTTATTTGGAATAGTGTTCCATAAGTATATTCATAGTTTGGGGCTCTTATTCATATAACTGTATGAAGACAAGCTTCTATAAAATACATACATTGTAGTATTTTCTAGTACATTCTTTGACAATTTGGAATCTTTTTTAACCAGAGTGTTCACAAATCCAGACTATGCATGACAAGACACCTTATAAAACTCAAAATTACAAGCCATTTTGAGAAGACCATTTGAAGAGCACTGTAATTAGGGGCAGCTTGTTGCACTACAATTTAATGGAACATCACAAAATTAACGTTAACTTATACTTTAAGTGTACTTCTTGTTCTTAATTTAAATATTAAATAGGTTCTACATATTATAAACCTTGTTTGGAGTGGAGAGAGAGGGCAGTATGAAATACAACTAACCATAACATGATACTATTACATTATCATAGTATAAAGGACAATATATCTCAATGCTAAAATTTGTTTTGTCAAGGAGCAATTATCAGATTATCATAATAAAAGGGACAGTATATCTCTTAATGCCAGAATTTGTTTTGTCAAAGGGCAAATTCCAAGATACTTTCTTTGGAAAATCAAAGGGACTCTTGATGAAAGTTGACATTTTACTCACGATGATTAAGCTCCAATATCTTAGATTGCATTTAGTTCTATTCAAATAATTCCAGTCCTTTGTTATTTCCTTAAGTCTACACCAGCAGAAAATGTCTGTTCTCCGTGTATAGGATCCCAGAACTGCATATTTGACATTTATGAACATTCACTGTTGACACGGAAGTTTTCTATCCCTGAAGTGTGTACATAAGTGCTATACTGTTATTCACCAAATTGAGAGTGATTTACAATTGATCTTACTTTCAGTCCATGGTTCCTCTTGCCTTTGTTCCCCTCACAATAAACATTCTCTAATAAGACAATAATCATTCTCTAATAACCCCCTTTTGACTGTTACCTATATCTTATTAAAGAGTTCTAGATACATTTTTCACTCAAATCAAAGGATGTAAAAATAACTTTTTAAAAAAATCTCCATCGGGGCCGCCTGGGTGGCTCAGCAGTTTAACGCTGCCTTTAGCCCAGGGCCAGATCCTGAAGACCTAGGACCCTGCATTGGAGCCTGCTTCTCCCTTTACCTGTGTCTGTGTCTGTGTCTCTGCCTCTCTCTCTCTCTCTCTCTCTCTCTCTCTCTCTCTCTCTCTCTGTGGCGCTCATGAATAAATAAATAAAATCTTAAAAAAAAAAAAAAAAAGAATTCTTTCTGGGATCCCTGGGTGGCGCAGCGGTTTGGCGCCTGCCTTTGGCGCGCCAAAGGTTGGGCGCGATCCTGGAGACCCGGGATCGAATCCCACGTCAGGCTCCCGGTGCATGGAGCCTGCTTCTCCCTCTGCCTATGTCTCTGCCTCTCTCTCTCTCTGTGACTATCATAAATAAATAAAAATTTTAAAAAAATAAAAAGTAAAAAAATCTCCATCACTGCCAAATTAGCTGGTGTTGAAGCATGTTTTTGATATTTAGTTTATTGATTGATTTTTGGTTTTGTTTTTTATTCTAATTAGGAGCCTAAGATCATGTGATACACCCTCGGAAAAGAAGTGGTTGATTCCAGATTGATTTTGTCTTGACCTGGTCATTCATCAGGTGTGTCAAAAGTCTGAATCATCCTGGGCTTTGAGTTCCTTCAGTTACACCGGTGCAACTCTTGTTAAATGAAAGGCTCTAAAACCACAGGCCAAGATGAGGCAAACTGAAACCCTGGCATGTCACTGGTGGGGATGAAAACACAGCAGTCACTCTGGAGAACAGTTTGATGGTGGGCATGAGTGCAGACTGTCAAGAACACAAAGTTTCTTTTTGAAGTAATGAAAATCTTTTTAAATTATTTAAAAATATTTTAAAAGTAGATTATGGTACAGCTTGCACAACTCCTGAATAAAATCCATGGAAATGTACACATTCAAGATGAACTTTATCATAGATTAATTATATCTCCACAAAGTGGAGATGTGTTAAACGTGTTAAAGCACAACATGTTCTAAAGTTACTGGATCTTATGGCTTCATTCTGACTCCAACGTCGGTAACAAGTTACAAACTACAGAGCAGACCTGCTCTGCCAGAAGCAGTTCTAGCATTGATAACTACTCTTTCCCGACCATGACTTTTGGCACTCCAAGCATCCATCATGAATTCTCCACCACCTCAGTTTGGGTCCAGGGATGCTGGAAATTAAGAAAAAAAAACTAGAGGGAATTCTAAAAATATATATATATATGTATAAGTAAACAAATCATTCTTTGGGTGTTTTAACAAAAATTAATATAAGCAAATAATTATTTGGAAATTCTAATAAAATATAGGTTAAAAATACCCTTTAGCATATACTGAGCTTCATAATTCAGATATGTTAATTAAATTCCACTTAATGGGAGGCAAGAACAAGAGAAGCAGTTCAGAAGTACAAGTAATTATGCCTGCCACTGGCACTGGAGTCCGCCTCCACCACAGCCATGATCTCACTTCTACTTTCACTTTCCTATTTCTCAAGTAGCTTCATTCTATAATGTCTGAGAAGTAAAAAGTGCAACACGTGTAGTCATCAATTGCAAAAGAGTCAACATACTGATTTTTGATCATTTGGGAGTAGCATAGAGATTTAAAATAGTGTTAAGTTCCCTCTGGGTCAATGATATAAACTTTCAAGTGAAGCTACTCCACTTGGTGATTCTATATTAGTGAACATAGTCACATTAACACCAATGTCAGTCCTTTAAAAGTAAAAGTCACTGAATTAATTTTGTCACTTTCCAATGACATTTCATAATTAGTACAGTCTTGATTTCTCTTCTGAAGTAAAATAAACTTAGTTATAGATCAAGATCATTTTTAAAAGAAATGTCCTTCTAATAAACTATTAAAACTTTTTAAAATCATATTAAGATATTCTGATTTTATATAAATACACATTTCTATATCTACAATTCTGTAGTATTTTCTACAATATGCCATAGCTATAAAAGGAAGTGAACTCCAAATAATAATTTTAGTATGACCATAAGTCCAATTGTGGTGGCCTTAAATGGACTATCTCAGAAGTTAAGAGAGAATTAAGCCATTTCAGACTTCTGGTATATTAAATATTGAAGAAAAAGAAGCTAAAATGAGGTTAGAAAGATATCTACTTGAAGTTTGCACTTTAAAAATTAATGCTATCAGCCAAAAAAGTGCAAAAACCCAAATTCATTAACTGATGAATGGATGAATAAAATATAGTCTAGCCACACAATGGAATATTACTCAGCAATAAAAAGGAATGAAGTGCTGCTGGTAAATGTTCCAACATGATGAATCTTAAAAACATTATGCTAAACACAAAAGACCAAACACAAAAAAAAGCCAAACACAAAAGACCACATATTACATGATTCTCATTTATATGAAACTTCCAGAATAGGCAATCTACAAAGACAGGAAACAGATCAGTGGTTGCCTAGGGCTAGGAGATTTGAGGAGAAACAGGAAGTGACTGCTGATGGGTATGAGGTTTCTTTCGGGCATGAGGAAAATATTTTAGAATTAATTGTGATGATGGTTGCACAAGTCTGTGAATATACTGAAAACAATCAAACAAACTTTAAACAGATGCATTATAGAGTAGTGGATTATATTTTAATAAAACTTATTAAATTAATGTAAACTCCACCTGTATATATTTGTCAAAATTCGTTATATTATACAATTATACTTATTGAATTTTACTGTATTATACCTCAATAAAGCTGACTTTACAAAGGGAAAAAAATTAATTCTACAAACACACACACAGTTACAATGACCAGATATGGGGCCTGATCCTACAATCTTTGTATGAGGTCTTTCAGCCATGGGAGGCCCCTCCTCCAGGCCAATAGTACTTCTCCTCAGCCATGTCCACACACACTGCCCCAACACACATGTCCAGACTTTTAACCTAGAAACAAATTATACTAAGGAAATGAAGTCAGGAGATGATGAGTTGCTTATTTCGATGTGTAACTCCTTGAACAAAGAATTAACAGAAAGCAAAGCTGCTTTCTATTCAGGTGCAGGAATGACCACACATCATAAGAGAAGAATCTAAGCAATGAAAATGAAACGTAAATTCAGGATTTCTGAAGTACATCAGTGGTGTTTGGATGTTTTATGTATATACACCAGAAGGACGTAAAAAGAATGATGCGAAGCAAGTTAGCATTTTCAATTGTTTAATAGCTTCTTTTTATTCTTCTTAATTTTACCATAAAGATGGGATAGAGAGGAAGAGGGAGATTTTTGTAGTAGGTGGTTCCAGAATTTTAGGAGCTTCGTTATAATATAAATAAATAAATAAATAAATAAATAAATAAATAAATAAATAAATAAATAAATTATATGCATGTATATTATATATATATATATATATATATATATATATATATATATATATTTGGCTTCCAATTCAGTCTATGCTACTTACCATTTGTTCTTGAGCCAACTACTTAATGTCTCTGAACCACATTTTTTTGTCTTAAAATGGAACAACAGTGAATTTCAAGAGCAAAGCTCAGTGCCTAGCACACAGTAAAACATTTTAATAAATGTTAGCTATTACTTTAAAAATCATAAAGGATTTCTGGTAACTTGATAGCCTCTTTAAGGAGTAGGTACTAGTTACTCATGCCACAGCTTTATAGCGGCTAGTTACTGAATCATATTTAAACCTATGGTTTATAAAAGACTTTTTCATCTTTAGTTACTCCTTAATATTTAGAAAATTTAAACCAAGATCTGGATATTGCCAGATTCCAATTTGGGATAATTCAAAAATCATATTTACTACCGGATTTGGTTTCCTTTTATTACAGGTTCAAGGCCTAAGAATTTTTAGTGCAATTTCAGAAATTATATTTTTTTAAAAAAATCACCCTGTGATTCTGACGGAGGTCATGCACAGATGCACTCTGAAAACAGCTGCCCAACCACAGTGGTTCTTGACGTTGACAACGCTGGAATCATCTGGGGAGCCTAAAATATCCATGATGGAGGTCTCACCCCACACTGCTCTGGGATACAGCCTGACCATCCTGTCAGTCTAATGTGCAGCCAGGGCTAAGAATCACTGTCCTCTAGGAGCAACAGCCTCTGACCAACTGTCACATCTCTCCCAGTGGAAAAGGGATACAGGCAAACGAGAGAAGGGGTTAAGAGTTGAGGATAAAAAGGGAGACTAGAGCATGTGAAAATTCTTACCTGAACCCATCCACCCCAGCACAGCAGCCAGCATTTTGCTCTTCTTTTAGCTCAACCCTGTTGTCTGTAATATTGTGAAGGACAAAGCTTATTTACCCCCAGATCTCTATTGATCAAAAGTAAAAATTCCTATAGAAGTGATGACCATGATGAAGTTATTTTCTTGATTTTCTATGAAATGTTCGAGAAAATGCAAAAGGGGAACACTATCTCTGATACAAAATTTAAAAGATGATTACATCCATTTATCTGAAGATTTGCAAAAGCTTCTTTAATGAAAATAGGAGAAAATAGTGTCAGAAAGTGTATCAACTCAAAAAACTTCCAACATATTAATGCTTCCCAGTGAATTGGAAGGCTATAGACAAGTAAGCATCTCTCTCCAAAGAATCCTAACTTTACAAAACAAGAGAGCAGAATAATTGGACCTTCTCAGGAGAGCACAGCTTTTATTTTTCTAACCACCCCGAAGCACAGAGGGCAAACAAAGGAATGGATGGTTGCCTGCTCTCTCTTCATTTGTGACATTTGGCTCTGTCCCCACTGGTGGTGGCAATGCTATTAACCCCACACTTTGATGTGGCAACTCCCCAAAATCTGTTGGCTGGTTTCCGGCTGGAGAATGAGCAGATTTCCACCCTTGTGGCTCCAGAGAGAGCAAGTACACATCATTGCCAGCCAGAAAAGAGAAAAGTTTTTTCCTCTCTTTCCCTTTGTCCACAATGGCCAAGCCTGGACACGTTACTTCTAGAGAGTCATTCAATCACCCATAATGCTATCCTACTGCTGTACAGGAGCCCAGGAAAAACCTGAGCAGAAGCAGCTCCATAAATCTCCAGGCAGTCAGTGCAAAAAATGGTCACCC